TTAAAAACACATACAAAACATTAAATAAACCAAAATATTAATCTATAAAAAAGAGAAAACCTAAAATGCTACACCTTATATTGTAATATTATTTGGGGAAATACTTATGCATCATATATAGATAAGATTTATTTGTTACAGAAACGAGCCGTGCGTATTATTACCAAAGAGATTCGATCATACACGTATGTCCTCCGATTATTACTAAATCTGATAATTTAGCCCCATCACGGCCACTTTTTGTTAAAACACACGTAGTACCAATTTTTTAATTGATTCAGTTTAATACTCGCATATTTATGTTTAAATTTCAAAATCGCCTATTGCCAGAAATTCCTAATATAAACTTTGTTATTAATAGTGATATTCACTCGTATTCTACTCGTCAGAAAAATGATTTACATTTATTTAAAGTTCGTACGAAAAATGCACGAAATTCTTTCTATTTAAATGGCATTAAGGAATGGAATAAGTTGAGTAATGATATTAAGGAAAGTACAACTTTATCTCGATTTAAAGTATGATGTACACAGTTATTATTTAATGATTTATGTAAACAAGTTTGAGCAGAGGAGGATATTTGGAATGTATGTGTGTATGTATATGTGTGAGCGTGCATGTGTGTTTGTATCATGTTATTTTAAAGTTTTTAAACTGTATAATTTATGTGTAGTTTGTTTTTTCTTTTTAAGGCCCCACCACAAGCAATTTGCTTCTAAGGGTGTCCTTTACCGTATTATGTTCACTATGTTACTCATTTGTATGTACATGTTTCATTTTATGGTTAAAATAAAACTTTACTTACTTACTTTACTTGGGGAAGCGATAGAAATACAGGTGAGTTTAGTAAAAAATTATAAGTAAAACAAAAGATAGTGGTTATAGTTTTACTAATAATAATAATAATATGACAAATTTATATAGCGCTTGTGACAAAAGTTTCAAAGCGCTGTACATGTACACAAATCAAAATTACTTAAAACAAAAATCAATATTACTAATGGAATTAACATTACTCAAATTACCAAGAAAACAAAATATTACTAACATAACTTAACAAATTATCATTACTTAAATTAACAAGAATATCAAATATTTCTAACATAACTTAACAACTTAACATTACTTAAATTACCAAGAAGATTAACCATTATTAACATTACTAAAGAAATTAACAAAACATGTAAATTCCTTGGAAATTAACATTTTATCAGTAATAGCGATAATTTAAAAAGACATAATAAAGGCATGGTAATATTTATTCGAACTTATTTTTAGAGTTATTTGGGTTGCTTTTGGAAAAGATGAGTTTTTAGATTCTTTTTGAAAATGTCAATGGTGGGTGAGTCCTGGATATGGGCGGGGAGAGTGTTCCAAAGAGTGGGGGCACAGACTGAGAAGGCCCTGTCACCATAGCGGTTGTGGGTGCGAGGACCAAGTGCGAGCTGGGGTCTGGATGATGATCGAAGGTTCATGCCGGTAGTCTGTTTGGGTGAGATCAGTTCAATCAGGTATGACGGTGCGCGATGATGGATGATGTTGAACGTGAGGAGAAGGATCTTGAATTGGATACGTTGGGGAATTAAGAGCCAATGTAGGGTGCGGATGACTGGAGTGATGTGGTCGTGCTTTCTAGTGCGAGTGATGAGACGTGCAGCGGTGTTTTGTATGTGTTGAAGTGGGGCCAGATGAGAAGCAGGTAAGTTGATTAATAATGAATTACAATAGTCTAAATGGGAAGTAACCAATGCATTAACTAGTCGTTCAGTAGAGCTGCGATCAAGGTATTTCCGGATTTTCCCAATCCTATAAACACCGAAGCTAGCTGCCCGACACACCTTTCGGATGTGCTCTCTTAGGTCTAACGAGTTATCAACGATAACACCCAGATCTCTTGCAGAATTGGTCGCAGTGATAACAGCTCCGTCTATGTGAAGGCTGACAGACTCGTTCCGTTTCCTAAATTGTGATGTAATGTGGATGAGCTCAGTCTTGTTTGCATTGAGCATCATGTTATTATTACTTCATCTAAGTCTTTAAATTCTTCGTATTATGTAACCTAGATGTCTGTAGCACCATCCTGTTATAAATTCAATATCATGTTCATATAATAACATGCAAAAGAAATAGGAATAGTACAAATAAAAATATTGTCCAACTAAAATAGTGCTTTCATTGTGTATCAGATTATAAGTGTTATTTAATGGAAGCAAGAAGAAGATGGGAAAACATCAAGAGACAAAAATAGTTGAAGATTGACTTACGTCACACCTAACCTTTGGCTAATGATTGCATGATGCCAGACTATAGCTAATCCTCTGTATTACCATCATCTTCACTATTATCTTCAAGATTAAAAAGCTTATATCTAGGGTGTGTTCTCCTAGCTATACCACGGATTCATTACGAAAGGATGACCTAAAAAGAGAGGCCTCGTATAGAGCCAGGCAGTCTCACCTGTTATACACTCATTCCAAGTATCAAAAGAAATGTACATTGTACAAGGAGAGTTATTAGATAATATATGAACCCACAGATAGTCAAATTAATAAAACAGAAAAGGGTAAAAACATTTCCATTAATTTCATACGCATTCATATAGAGTACGATTAGATTTTAGTTATAAAGAGAGAGAGAGAGAGAGAGAGAGAGAGAGAAAGAGAGAGAAAGAGAGAGAAAGAAAGAGAGAGAGGAAGAAAGAGGGGGTTGGGGTTCAGGGGTTGGGAGAGAAACCTGCTCTGCCGGTCGTCAGTGGAGCGGCAAAGATAAATTTGGTAAAGAGGTTCTTCTTTCTTTAAAAAAATATATTTTTCAATCTTGTCTCCTTCGGGAGACGTCACTAACCTAGATTAATACTACAAGTAGATAAACTACAAGATTTGTTATGACGTCATAGAACCTGGTTTCATACGAAAAATTGCCCGATCAAAGACATCTTGAACATAAAATAATTATGCCTCCTCTTCTTCTTTCTGAGAAATTGTTCTGTATATAGTATGATAATGAAAATGATATGAAGCAGTCGAATGGTGATTGCGTCATAGTACTGTTCAAGGCAAACAGCCCATCAAGACAGTTTCTATATATCAGACAAAATGTTATATCTGTGAACTAAGTGATCATGTTGAGGGAAAAAGTAGAGTATTGAGTGATCACGCTCCTGCGTCTCTATGATACTTTTTCGGACCGTCACAGGTCACTTCCATGGTCACTCCGCGAACTCACATGCGGTCGCGTATAACACATGACCATATGAAGAAATTAATGGTGTATACACATGACATTATTTGCGAGCGGGCGAAGCGAGCAAGGAAAACAAATAATATTTGTGAGATCGCAGTGCGAAAAATTACACCTTATAAAGAGGGAACAAAAATCCTGATGGGGTTATAGGCATATTCTCATAACGAAAGACTGAAAAGACCTATGATAAGTAACATAAGTATATCATCTATATATGCGTGCGAGCGTAGCGATCGAGTTTTTGGTGAAATTGCTGTTAGTCGCTTGAAATTTGGGGCGCGTTTAATAATGAGAGGAAAAGGGGACACTTATCAGAAAAGAAAAGGAGCATGTGTCAAAGTACAAAGAGTAATTATCAGAGGTGAACGTCGGGCACTTCTTACACCCTCAAAAAGAGGCACTCACCAGGGATGAAAAAGTCAGTCATGAGAATAGGAAATGGGCATTTGTCGACGGAAAAGGGCCCACATCAGATTTTGATAGGGGCATTTTAGGAGGTGAAAAGGGGCATTTATGAAAAGGGGATAGGTCCCTTATTAGAAAGGAAAGTGGGTACGTATCATTGATAAAAGGGAAATTATCAGAAGTGAACAGAGGCACTTATCGAATTTGAAAGGGGGCAATGACCACATATGAAAAGAGGCACTTATGTGAATGAAAAAGGGGCACTTATAATAAAGAAAAATGTGCATTAGTTAAAAGAAAATGAGCACCGATCAGATTTTAAAGTGGTATTTATCGGAGGTTAAGGGGGCATCAATCTGAAGGGGAAGGAGTAACTTCTCGTAACTAAAAAAGGGTCATTTACCAGAGAAGGGGCACTTACGAAAAGGGGAAGGGGCTCTTTCTTTAATGGGGCAATTTTTATTAGGAAAAGGGGCACCTCTCAGATTTGAATAGGGCAATTATCAGAGGTAAAGGGGGCACTAATCTAAAGTGAAAAGAGGAACTTCTCGTACCTGAAACGAGGCACTTACTAGAGATTCAAAAGGGCACTTATGAGAATGGAAAATGGACACTTATTGCAAAGGAAAGAGGGAACTTGTCGAAGGAAAAGGGGCACGTGTCAAAATAAAAGGGGCACTTATCAGAGTTGAAAAGGAAAAGAGGCACTTTTACAAATGAAAAGGGGCACTTGTCAAAGTAAAAGGGGCACTATTCATATGTAAAAAGGGGCACTTCTTGCAAAGTTAAAGGGGCACTTTTCAGGTGCTTGAAAAAATTGGGGGGGGGGGCACTGTGCTGGGTGTTCGACAAGGAGTGAGGATTTCTTCAGAGGGTTACGGTTTTAAAGGCCGAGGACTTTTCAAGTGGCAGATTAATTCTTTTAACATGGACAATTTCCCTTTTATGGTATTGAACCCCGCATGTTAAAAAATATTAATCTGCAAATTAAAAAACGTGGTGATTTCTTGGCCCTTTACATGGTAACACTCTGACCAATCACTGTCGTTTTTCACTTCAAACTGAGCAAGATTTAATACCCGAGATAGACATGTACTTGACGGTAACTTTGGTCAGACTCATCATTAGCCTCATGCTGGGCAATCTTTACTCAACATCCTGGACAGTGGGTATCGTTAACTTTATTTCTATAACTCGATAAAAAACCCATTCCACCCGGTTCGTACTTCTATGAAAAGTTAATGCACCTGACTGTTAGCATAGTTAATGACATCTTCATTAGTTTACAACCATACTAAACATACAATGCTACAGCAATCTGAATAATAACAACCAAATCAGAAAAGAAAAAATGTTATGAACTCATGGAATGTCATTTATTTCACACACAATGGCAATTCTATGTACATATATATTTACATAGGACGGAGAAATAGAAACACAGCATATCATTTCCAATAACAAAGAGATTAAAACGCACACACAAACATATAATAAGATGCATAATATGTCAAACTAAACTGACATAAGATACTCTTATAAGAAGGCAAGCATTTCAATGATTTTTTTCCTTCCAAACACAAGAATAATATGAGAAAGTTCCTATTATAAATGAGAAGAAAAAGAATAATAATAACAAGAAAAGCAAAAAGAATAAGAAGAAGAATTACATTTGTGCAGTAAAACCAGTTTTCCCCAAGAAATCATGTGCAAAGAATATAGTTGCAGAAAATGGCGGGGCAATAAGCTCTTCCTTCCACACACCACCATGTTTAAAAATAGTTATAATTCAAACAATTATACATTTAAACATTTTCCTAGTATCACTTAGAGCAACATTTCCCAGATGTCATTGGGATGATGATCGATTTGAACATTCACAGATGCTAGGCAATCTTGTATTAAGAGTATGCACAACAAATAAATACTGTTATGTTGTGGGCTGCATGCTTTTATATTATGTCGCAGGTCTCCTTATTATTTTGTAATTATTGGTGGTCTTTATAACATCCCGATGATTAATGTCAAATCATGAGACGTTGTACACCAAGGAGTCATTCAACAACACTTCAGAAGACCCGCTTCGCCGGGCAGAGACAGATGTGTTGGGAATAATATATGTCTACTAGGCTCAGCTATACATGTATGTGACCAATATTTGCTTGATAAACCATTTAAATAAAAGAAATTAATAAACTATCTAACAATCATATTGTATAGCTTAGAATATCTTTCGTGATTTTGAAATAATTGTGGTTGAATATGGTTGCCTCAAAAAATGTATACACATTTATTACTTCGAAAAGCCTTCTAAAACTCATAGAAAAAGTAATGATCCAACTGGAAAAAGAAGTTTGTCCAAAATGTCTATCATTTCTTTAAGTTTCCAATCATTTTGATAGCCTTATTCTATTACCAGATAATTAATCTGTTAGAAAAAAGTGTGATCTGTTTTACAATAATATATCATCATCTCAAGAAAACACTACATGGAACATTTCAAATATTCATATAGTACTTTACAAAAGCAGTTTAGTTAATCTTATCAGTACCAATACAGACCAAGTATCTACATTATCAGCTTGTGATAACAAGAACGTTCACTGCATTAATAATTTATGAACTAGTGTTGTTCACAGACCATATTTAAATGATGAATTAGTGAGTCTTAGTCCTGACTTTGATAAAGATTTGTTTAAAGTGCATTTACTTATATTTCCGAAGCAATCAACAAAGTAATTTCTTTAGATCAAAATATATGATTGCCAATTCCTCAGATTAAAAAAAAAGTTATTTCATCCATATCAATATTCAGTCAAGTGAACCTCAGCTTTCTGATCAATGTACATGTATTCATGTGGGCAAAGTCATTTCTCTTGGTGCAAAACTAGCTGATCTCATATGAAATGACATATGATTCAAATGATTTTATTTCTCATGCAAAACATAATACATGAATAATTATATCACAAAAAGTATGCAATGAAACAACAAATATAATAGAAAAAGCAAGAGAAAAGAGGAAGTAACTTGAAACAGAGCTTGTTGAGGTGTTAGTTCCTCAGATACTGTTTTACAACATATCATGAACAAAGTATGCTGAGATATCAATAAATAAAAACATATGTAGCTAAGAAATTCTAGATTTTGGAGGGAAAAAATTAAAAAAAAGAGGAAAAAATAAAAAAATGAGGAAAAATAAAGGAAAATAAAGAAGGGCAAAAAAGAAAGATACAAAAAGGGAAACGAATTATTGCAAAAGCTCTAGAAAAAGGAAATTAGATCAGTAGATCAACTTTCTTCACTTCACTGACCTATGAAAGCTGTTTTACTTTTTGAATGCACTATTCTCATGAGATTTAAGAATGTGAGAAATCTGAGAAGAGTTATAAGTTCACAAAAAATAAAATTCTCACAAAATTCATAACAAGTAAACTGCCACAAGAGAAGAAATCATAGGTGTGAATAGAAACATCCTTAAAACCACCCCCCCCCCCCCCCAAGGAACTTCTTGAAATGCAAGCATTCTTGAGGGGAGCTTTTAGGGTTTTGTTCAACCTTCAAAGGTGTGTCCAAACATGAAAAAAGAAGGAAATCTATCTCTTCTGTGCACTTCTTCCACTTTAACAATTATTGGGTAATAATTAAACTTGTCTATTTTCAGCAGGGAGGGAGGGACTTGATATCCAACACTATGCTTTATGTTACTCATGTGTGAACCACTCAGCTGGTGGAGCTAGGAGAGGAAACTCTATTTTGATCCTATCAGCATGGGCCCTATTCAAACATTGGCCTAGCTATTCAACTGATAAAAGAACTGTTCCCCTTATCTCTGATAGCTAAGTATAAGAATAGGTTTCTGATGTGAATACAGTCACCTGGTTATCACACACACAAACACTGATATCAAGTACAAACTTAACAAGTCCCTGGATTCTTTGTTTTAAAATAACATGAATTATTGAGGTTAATTCAGGACAAGAAGATTGCACTGACATGTAAATACACCATACATGAATTTGTCTCTTAAACTTAACCAATTCTGTGCCATCTTATTTTTAAATGATCGTCACTTTTTAGTGTTCAATTCAATTTTCAATAACAAGCTGATTTCATTGCTAAATTTGGCAAACAATGTTTCTCCTTGGAGTAACCTTCTCAATGGGGATAGCTGTTTCAAGATAAAAAAAAAACATGGAAATGTTTAATTCTCAACACACTGCTCATCACTTCAATTCTTGGATGGGAGTTTTCAACCAACATCTAACAAAGTTCATGTGGATGTGGTATTATACTGACCATTCAAGTACAATACCATGCATACAATACTTCTTAATAAACACACATTTGATCATGTTTAAGTGAGTAAGTTTAATCAAAGCAAAATGTTATCAATCAGAAAATTTGTAACAAAACTTGTCCGATGGTTCTAAGTCCAATGATACTTGAAATGTAGTAATTGTTCTGAGACCATAACAAATACACCGTAGATCCTCCAATCAACATGTACATCTAAAGAAAAGAAAAAACAAAGACAAAGAAACAAGGTTGATTCAATACTGTCTAACACCTTTGCAAATTTGTTGTATGGCTGTCGGAAAGACATTATGCACATGCAAAAATATATTTCTGGTAACTTGCTTCTATGGTTTTGACTGCTGTGTATACATATATAAACCATCTTTTTTAAACAACAGGGATTTCTCTAATTATCGACTGATAAAATCTAAAAATGGGTTGTAACTACCTAAATTGATTAGTTTGGTAATGACATTCTGCTTAACATAAAAGTGCAAGTCCACATTTAGCAGAATGGAGCAATGCAATGTACTAATGTACTAATGCCCTTCTGCCAGCCACTCCATACCATGAATTAAGATGTGCAGTGTTAGAACCTACAAACACAAAGGCTCATATTCATAATGGTGGACTTGGTCCACTGGTATGTAGAAAGCCAAGTGGCAAGCACAGCTTTTTATAAAAGACTGTAATTCTGAAACAAACTGAATCAAACCAATTGATCCGGTCATTAAATTTAAAAGAGAAAATGTAATGAAATTAAAAAGAGAATTGGTACCATAGCTCAAGCTGCATTACACTACAGGCACAAACTGTTTTTTGTAAATAACATTCCACAGTTTTATCAGAACTTACAAGGCAACTACCCATAAACATGACCCAAAAAACAATTCTTGCATAACATTGAATACAACTATTGCCTCATGAGCATGGCATTGTAATTGTGTATAACCTCGGTTGCAGTGAATTACTTGATATTCTCAATGACCTCTGTACAAGTAATGTCGATCAGTTATACTACCCACTCACTGAGTGGGCTGGTAGCATATATTCAAAAGGCTTTTCTTAAGGACTCAGAAGGAAGAAAAAAAAACCTGATTCATTTCACAAGCACACATTTACAAGTCTAGCTAGTAACCTTCAGATTCAAACAACACATATAACACAGCCTTATCTGAGGAGTCATTAGGCAAAATCTGGTGATGATGAAAGTATGCATATTTGTCACACAGCTAAATATGAAAGAATACAGAGCAAAAACTCTTGTTTGAGGTTCATTATTCTAATAATATTGCTTGTCAAAATACAACAAATAAATGTGGATGAATTGTCTTGAATATATCACCCAAGATAACCTTGACTTCATGTTACACTAAACTTAAAGGTAAAGATCAGTTTTGGAAATGCCCCCCTCTCAAAACAGGAAATAGAAGCTCTTATTACCAATCATGTGAAAGAATATGTTTTGACTAATACATGATGATGTAATTGATATATTTGATAAATTATTATATCTATTTGGACCTGATAGATATCGTGCACGTGTTGTGTAGTCCCATATACATCTTTTTGCTTGTAACTTTACCAAGAATGGGCCAAATTTCTTATCATTTTGATGATTCCAGAACCTTGCAGTACACACTAATACTGATAATGATCAACCTTTTCTGATCGATTTCACAATGTTTCTTTCACAATGCAACCGCATGACCATAACTGGTCTTTACCTTTAACAGTGAATTTGAATTGTACAAACAAGATCAATGGTTATGATAGTTCTATGGCTCTAATAGTTGTTTATAAGTTTTTGCACATGACATTTCTTGTAACAATTGAAGAAGAAAAAAACCCTCTTAAATGTAAGATTCACCTTTTGAGTGATCCAGCTATTTAGCAAACTCAGGAAATCAATTCAATTTCATTCACAATCTAATATTTCACTGTATTGAGGTTAATGTAAAGGAGCAAGTAAGAGTGCTTTGAGACTAGGTATAACAGAGGTCAGTAGAGTAGTCTGCTGAACCAGTAAGATTTCTGAAGGATGGTATGCAGTCAAGGCCAAGAGTACCTGGGAAATATTAACTGATCAAAATATGCCCTCAAATTTTCTGTATTTAGTGTTTAGAGGGATGTGTAGGTCAGCTACCAATGTCCAAACTATTTGCTTCTTATACAGACAACACTTGCAGGCTATGACAAAAGAGAAGTGAGGGAGGGGTGGGGAGAAGAAAAATAAGGCTAAGAAAACAATTGTCACTTAAAATACTCCTCACAATATCAAAAACTAAATGCAATAATGACATTTTCTCTAAACATTTATGTCAAATTCACTCTTATAAAATAAAAGCTCAACTTAATGGAAAATTTTGAGTGAAATTGCTCAATGTCATTTGAATTATTACCTTTCTTTTCTTTTCTTTTCAGAGGTATTTCTTTCTGCTGTATGTGATGTTGATTTTGATCATGTTCTTAATTTTCATTATGACAATGATGATGGTGAAGATGATGGTGGTGGTGATGATGTTAATGTTTCTATTATGATGATGATGGTGATAATGATGATGACGATGAGGACAATGACAACGATGATGATGATGATGATGTTAGCAATGATATTAATTACATTTATGTTATTGAAGGTAGAGCTGGAAGTAAGAGTGTATTACAAATCAAGCACATCAAACACTATACCAGGTACATGTAGGTTTGTATTGAGACTGACTGATATGCACAAAGAGAAAGAAAGAGCTAGAGCTAGAGCCTGAGCTCAAAGAGTGCGTAGGAGTTCATCACTATTGTAAAGAGGTCCGTACATGACTAATATTCCAGGGGCTAAGACCCTGGAATGCCAGGGTTTGAATGTCTGCAAATCAAACAATACAACAATTTTTTTCTCTAAAAATGCCTTGATGACCGTCTTTGTAGTGATGGCGTTCAATGTAAATACTGGCTGAAGATATTCCTTTCTGTATTTGAAAAGGAGGTGATCGGTTTGGACATTGCCTTCATGACAGAAACAAGGCTCTTTCTATAAATGTTTTAAGGAGTAATTTTCATCCAGAGATTCTGTCTCTCTTTCTTTCAATGGACTAGAGATGTATAAGTATTATTTTACATAGCACTAAGTGTACTATAATATATAATCCAGCGTTTTTCAACCTTTTTATAGTCCCGGCACTCTTATAGAAATAAAAGGTTTCGCTCTCCCTCCCATATTCATTGAAAAAAAAAAAAATTTGCATCACTCTGGTATACATCAAGTACCATGTACACAGGTACGGACACATTTTGTTTAAAAAATTTGCAATTGAAAAACAATGACACTTTTCATACGGTTAAAATCTCATTTCATAAACCAAACACCCTAGATAAGATACTGTAAACGCAAAAATATTTGCGGTACATTAATTTTCGCAGATCTCGCGCTGAAGTCGGTGTCCCCGAATTTTAGAACCCGCAAATATATAAACATGACTTCTTATGCGTGTTCTGAATGGGCTGAACGGGCTGAATACTCTCTGATGTAAGATTAATTTGCCAATTTCACTGAGTTCAGGAACATCACCTTGTTTAACCAATATTGAAACTTAGCTTAAATATCTTTTCTTTTATCGTATTTTATCTGTATAAACATCTAAATGTTATCCCACCTACGTATCACTGTTGCAATAAACCTGTAAATTGTTAATTATCAAATTTCTATTTCATGTAAAACGAACGACAATTTTATATCATCAATGAAACTGTAAATCGTATTTAAATATACACAATATTTGTTAAGTGTTCTATATATGTTAATGTGTTATCAATGCAATGTTATGCCATGTACTTTTTACTCTGTAAATTGATCAATTTCAGCTTTTAGCTGCATGTCCGATAATTTTTATCTCAATAAACCAATACAATACAATACAATACAATATAGTGCAATGCGGATTTAAGAACCAGCGAATATGTTTCATATATATCAGAGTCATATATTAAGTCACCTCGATGCACAAAATAATATAAGAATATTTGGGCATTTCATGGTCAAGAGTAATCCTGTTTTTAAATGTTCTGAGCGAGTGAAGTGAATGAGCGTGGTAAAAATGTGATTTCATGATAAAGAAAATATTAGATATAATCTGACACCTGAATGTGAGGATATTGGGGCACCACGCTGTCCAAAGAGAGATCATATCATAGCCATTCATGCTTCTAATTGGAGCAAGTACTGTCATGCTGCTGTTTCAATCTAGTGTTTACAAATACATGTACAGTTTATTGCATCAAGGCATCAGCTACAGTTCCTTCTTATATATTTTCAATTCCTGTCAACTCAGAACTGCATTTTATTTGATCATTGATTAACAAAATTACAATTCAACAACTAGCGAGCTAGCATTATGTTGAGTTATACAGGACTTCACATAGACAATCAGTATCTTTAATATATACCTTCCCCTCCCGCAAAGGATAATCCTTTAATTTCTCAGTTTTACGCCATCTGCTCACATCGCTAGGCATGACCTTTAACACTCGTACCAAATTGACTTACAATGGGTTTTCTTAGGTAAATATTGGTTGAACTCGAAACAAAAGATTGACTGACAGCTCATATTATGGGAATATCACAGATGCTATTATACAACTTGACAGAAATCTCACTCGAACTAGAAAATTAATTTCAGGAAAATCTTTCAAGAAAATGGTTAGAACAAATATGCATGTATGGTAAATAAAAAGCATGCCCTTGATGATACTTATATCTATCATATAAGTGTATTCAATCCAAATTATCAAGCTATCACATCATGTGCTCCATTTCCAATCCCTGTAGAGTATATCACATTGTGTGCACCATCTCCTCACCCTGTGGAGTAAATCACATTGTTTGCACCATCTCTCTCCCTGTGGGGGCATATCACATTGTGTGTACCATCTTCACACCCTGTGGAGTATCTATCATTGTGTGCACCATCTCCACACCCTGTGGAGTATCTCCCATTGTGTGCACCATCTCCACTCCCTGTGGAGTATCTCCCATTGTGTGCACCATCTCCACTCCCTGTGGAGTATCTCACATTGTGTGCACCATCTCCACACCCTGTGGAGTATCTCTCATTGTGTGCACCATCTCCACACCCTGTGGAGTATCTCACATTGTGTGCACCATCTCCACTCCCTGTGGAGTATCTCACATTGTGTGCACCATCTCCACACCCTGTGGA